TTTTACACCTATGTCTCCTGGAGTCACTCTGTCCTCTGCCACCGGCTGGAAATCCCCCTCCAACAAAATGCCCACAATGTAAACATACTCAAATCAAGATTAGGATCAGCTTCTGAATCTAATGTGGAGGGACATTTCCTTCAAACCCCAAAAAGAGCATACTCTGAGAACTTTAAGCAACACAATCCTCTTTGGAGGCATTTGGATCATGAAACTGGAGCCGAGGAAAGAGTTACACACTCTCTCTATTTCCTCAGCAAAATGAAAACATTATTGGTTGACTCAGAGGCCTCCATGTAGTACACATGGACATATCACAGTTGTGGCAGGGGGAAATGAAACTGGGAAACTGGAGCAGGCAGTTACTCAATGCTTTGCTCCTTATCCAAATTGAGGCAGTTATCGATGGCTACATTTGTTCTTTAAAATAATAATCAAGAAACCTGCCACAACATCTAGTTTGGCCAAGGCAAACACTCTAGCCACTGCAGCACTCTGACCCTCAAATATTTTGACTGACTGATAAAGGATTTGTACTCTGAAGCTGCTCCTTGATGCCATTTTCTTGTAATTGCTTAGATTGTAATCAGTTATTGCTGCAGCAATATTTATTGAATATCATGGTGAGGTTTTTCAGTCAAGGAAAATAAGAAAGCATTGTTGAATTAACGACCTTTTCAAAGAAACCTTGCTGCCTGCATATTAACAGTGCGGAGCAAAAATGATGATCCAAAAGGCAGGAATTAAAAGGAAACAAGCACCTGGGTTATTACAAAATGAATGAGAAAGCAAAGCTATTCGATATTAAGGAGCAATGTTCTGTGGCATGGAAAATCCAGACCTACTTTGAAATACATTAATGCTGTTACTGCAGATCAACAGTAAAACAAAAGTAGCAAGAGCAATTTCAAATACTTATTTGAATCATGGGGCGTGGTGTGGGGGAGGGATGAACATGAGGACAGAAGGAAGCATATAAAAACAAGAAGTGAAAAAGATTCAACATCTCTGTAGATGTTGGGGGGGAATCTTCATTGGGAAACATTCTCCTCCATTGCTTTCTATCCCACAGCTCCTGAAAGCCTTTCTGGAGAGTGACCCCCTGTGTGGGACCCAGGTGACTGTTGGATTGTCAGCATCGCCCTTGAGCCAGTGCCACCAACTGGACTCATCCACTTCAGCCCCGACTGGGCTAGGCGAGCTGGGTAGCACTTCCAGAGACCACCTTCTGCACAGGAACAGGTCAAAGTGCTGTGGACTCACAGCTTAGAGTTGTGAGCACCGGATTCACTTCCACAAGAAGACAGTCGTCGCACAGCAGAGTATAGCAGAGTATAGCAGAGCATAAACGACTCGGAGAATATCTTCTTTATTCTATCTACAACTATAATACACAACTATATACAGAGCTAAATGAGGTCTAAACGAAAAATGCTGAACTGCACTGAGTGTCTGCAGCTGCTCTTAGCAGCAACCTTATCTATACACACGATCTCTCTCTAACACTCAGTCTATCTCTCTCTCTTTGATGTGAGGATGGAGCGGAATAAGTAGAGAGCATAAACTGCCCCCTCCTCTCTGGAGAATCAGCAGAGAACATCAGCAGATTCTTGGATATGGGAGGGGTGAAATCTCCTCATGGATGAGGGGTGAATTGACAAAATCAGACAGAGGCATCTTGTGTGAGCAGAGTTATGCAATCCCTTGCGCTCTTGGTACTCGAGATCTCAGTCAGAAGCTGTAATTGCTGCACAGATTAACCTCACTGGCTACTGTATTCATCCCAGGGGCTACATTCTGTCATGAACAAACGTATGCAGTCCACATTCCAATAGTGGGCGGGGAGGGGGCAGAGAAAAAAGGTGGGAAGATCAATAGACGAAATACTTAAAGGTAAAGGGACCCCTGACCATTAGGTCCAGTCGTGGCCGACTCTGGGGTTGCGGCGCTCATCTTGCTTTATTGGCCGAGGGAGCCAGCGTACAGCTTCCGGGTCATGTGGCCAGCACGACTAAGCTGCTTCTGGCGAACCAGAGCAGCGCACGGAAACGCCATTTACCTTCCCACTGGAGTGGTACCTATTTATCTACTTGCACTTTGACATGCTTTCGAACTGCTAGGTTGGCAGGAGCAGGGACCGAGCAACGGGAGCTCACCCCGTTGTGGGGATTCGAACCACTGACCTTCTGATCAGCAAGTCCTAGGCTCTGTGGTTTAACCCACAGTGCCACCTGCGTGATACTTACCTTTCTACAATAGGTGAAATTTCAACCTCACAAAAGTTAGAGAGTTCTACACACACACACACACTTGCATCCAGGCAAGCCAGAGACATTCTCCCAGTTCAAATGACACCTTCCAGCCAGGCAAAAGAACTCAAGGAGGGTGTGGAGCAGAGATTGTGAGGGATGTGGCCTGAGCAGAGTCCCAAGGGCTGGCTAGAGGGGCTCAGAGGACGACATTCAGCCCCTTGGTCCCGAGGCTCCCCTACTTTACCCTAGTGTTCAACAGTTGACAGCTCACGAGGCAGCTCCCCAAATCAAAACAAGTGAGAAGTCTAATTTCGTGGTCAAAATACAAATTCAAATGTCACATTCAAAACGATATGAAACTGGGAATTTCAAATAGTCACAACTCTTTGCTTCAGTCCCAATGAAAGGTGCCCATGAATCCCTTTTTGATTGAAGGCAAAAAGGTGTCTAGCTTTCAGTAGAATACAATCCCAGAACTGTCTATCTTTCTCTCTTGCGTACAATTCTCCATGAAAGGCATATTGCCATGTGATGGAACGGTCTAACCAGTAATAATATGGATGCATTACTTATTAGCATCAGTGTGAGCTCATCACAGCATATATCCTGCATGTACTCCATCATTTATAGAAGGAGATACTTCAAAAATGTTTTAGAGAGAATTTTAAAGCAGTGCATTGGCATAGCTCTTGCATCTTGATACCCGTAAAACCAGTTGCCTTAGTTACCAGGAGTAAAAAGTGTAGAAGGCAAAAGGAACAGAAAGAGTGAGGGGCGAGGGAATGAATATAGTTAAAATGCTTCTTAAAAACAGCTAATCCTACCAAAGGTTTGGTTCAAATAACAAGGCCTCAAAGAAGTGTTACTTCCAAGTATTTTTTTAAAAATAAAATATCCATCTATGCCAATAATCTGGCAATAAGTGTGCATCAAAGGATTTGGAGTGCTGCCCACAGTTCTTTGCTGGATTCACGCATTATTTCAGTTGGCAGCCAATGTCCCAGGTGCACTTTTGAAAACCTCCGGTCTTTGACATATTTGCTTATATGAAAGATGAAGCAGGTGAGCAAAAAAAATATGCAATTCATAACGGATTTCCATTTTAGCAGCATATTCTGCATAATATTCCTAGTGTAAAAGTCATCAGGAGGAAATCAGGCAAGGGACATGGGACAGGGTGCCTAATATTTCTTGCTGCTGTGCATTCTTGCTGTTTGCATAAGGAAAATCTTAGCTGAGAGCCGTTTGTATGGGTGAGGAAAAGCAAATGATGGGCTGGATGTGAATGGCATAATAAATGAATGCATATAGCCTGGATGGTAATCAGGTTAAAAAAGACTTGGTGAGAATAGCTCTGATGGGTATAATACGATCTTATACTGGGAGGCAATAGGAAGTGGTAATGGATGTTGCTCATTCTTGTTGCTGTTTAGTCAATTAGTCGTGTCCGAATCTTTGCGACCCCATGGACCAGAGCATGCCAGGCAGTCCTGTCTTCCACTGCCTCCCGGAGTTTGGTCAAATCAATGTCGGTCACTTCTATAACACTGTCCAACCATCTTGTCCTCTGTCGTCGCCTTCTCCTTGTGCCTTCAATCTTACCCATCATCAGAGTTTTTTCCAGAGAGTCTTTTCTTCTCATGAGGTGGCCAAAGTATTGGAGCCTCAGCTTCAGGATCTGTCCTTCCAGTGAGCACTCGGGGCTGATTTCCTTCAGAATTGATAGGTTTGATCTTTTAGCAGTCCATGGGACTCTCAAGAGTCTTCTCCAGCACCACAATTCAAAATCATCAATTCTCCAGCGATCAGCCTTCTTTGTGGTCTAGCTCTCACTTCCATACATCACTACTGGGAAAACCATAGCTTCAACTATACAGATCTTTGTCGACAAGGTAACACCTCTGCTTTTTCAGATGCTGTCTAGATTTTTCATAGCTTTTCTCCCAAGAAGCAGGCATCTTCTTGGGTAAACCACCAATAGGGGGTGCCCTATGACTTACATCAAATAGGGGCATCCTGAGGGGGTCTCCATAGGGGCTGTGACATGGTCCTAGCCAATGTCCAGGCTCCAGACAGGATTCACACCTTGGATACCCTTACTGAGGAGGGGCAGGCGAAGACTACAACCTCCCCTCCATACAAAGGCTTACCCAATGCCTAACCACCATACTGTCACTGTGTTTGAAGCAGATGCACACTACACCTAACGATGTATAGGAACAAACCTTGGGGCCATACATTGATATTCCCCCACCCATTACCTGTAGATCACAAGTGATCCGTATGCACAATCTGCCAGCCCTAAAAATGGGTGGATAGGGGATTGCAGGAGTGGGGGACATACCTGATATATGCCATACAGGGTTTACAAAGAAGGTGGGTTGGGAGGGGGGCCTCAAATGAGCTCAAGGCTCATTCTGAAACACACATTTTCCCAGTAAAATGTGAGACGGCTTATAAAAACAATGGAAGCATTCCCAAAGATCCTCTTCTCCAACTCTGTAACTCACACCAGTTCTTGTGGATAGCCCCAGGGTGAGAGGGAGAATGTAGCAGGTAAAAACTGTTTGACTCACTTGCTCTTTGTCTCTGACACTGATATGAGACCTAATATGACCCTGAGCATGGAACTACTTCGGGCAAGCAATGTCCGAATTGAAGTCTGTGACATGCTCAAGGAAACACAGAAAGAAAGAAAGAATAAAGAGGATAAGAATCTTTCAAGAAATATTCCAATTTACTATTGGACTCCCCACACAGTAAAGATTTTAAACATGAAACAGTGCTGGCAGCATCTGACCTTAACTTGAGAGAGTTCCTATTGTGTATGAATAAGACAGCCTGCTGTTGTATAATGGATTTTACAAAATCCAATATTGAGCTAAACAGTGACATTATAGTGCACTCCACTTACAACATGTGGGGTTACAAGAGACAGCTGGTTTTGGCAAATAAGAGCAGTCAAATGTGTCATAGATGGAAATGAATAAGGTGACTGTTCCTTCTGACCATCACAGGAAAACTAAATTTGCACCACCACGTCAGATATGAGACGTTTGCTGCACATATTTTTAAAATAATTGAGACTTCTGGATTTTTGTTCTGATTTCTTTTATAACCTTCCACCCATAAATTAATGAGATTGAATGGATTTATAAGTGAACATATTGTGCAAATGACACATTCTGGAAATAAACTGATCTCTGCCCATATGCGGTATTATTTTTGAAAAGAGAATTTTTTAGCCCCAGGGAGCGGGGTTCAGTCATTCCCCATCTGGAGAATTAGTCTGGCCATTTAGTATCCATATCTGAGCATCCAGATCTTATCACGGAGCCTCTGCAAGTGAAGAACCACCTGACGCCTATATGTCTGTGGTTTACTAATAAGCACAACTGTACTTGGTCTAACTGCTGCAGATGGGTTTGGAAAATGCAGTTGAATAGTGACTTCACACACCCAGATGCTTTGCAGTGACGTTGACATGCAAAGGAATGGATGCTATAAATGATGCAGTGTGCAGAGACAGTTGACTAGGCCTACATTTCTAGCACACAAGAACTTTTGTTTGTGGGTATTGTCACTCTGTTGGGAGTAAAATACATTTCCCAGAATACTTTGGGGAAAGTCATGTGTTTTGAATGTATGGTATGTATACAAGCTATAGAGTAGAGGTTGCAGGCCTGCCCTTATCACAGAGCAATGTTCCCCCAAAGTGCACCCTTCACATTGCGGGACAGAAACCACCCATAGCAGAAATAAACCTTTGAGCCACTGTTGAGAGAAGCAGGTTTTCCCCCCTCTTCAGAACTCGCAAGACCTTGCAGTGACAAAGAAGCTTGTGACAGTCTCCTTCTTGACTCCATTTCAAGTGGAAGAAAGAAGGGAAAACCTTGACACTACCTTTCATTGTGCAAATGTTTAGCCACATTTGACAGCATTTTGACCTTTTTGTTCTGCCTTAACAGCCCCCAGTCCTTTCCCTCGGCTTCTGTGACCTGAAGTCTGGCTCTAAATGGCTGACCAGTCAAAACATGCTATACCGGATAGGTCAAAAGAACAGAGAGGCAACATGTGGTTGCGTTTCAGAGGACGCTTTCAAAACAGCTTGAGCTAATTGTAAATAATGAATTATTTTTTCCTTCTTTAATGCTTGCAACTCTATCCTCAGTTGCCATGGAGATTTGAAGTTTCAAAATGTGCCACTTTGAGGCTAAGACATTTTCGGCTTCCAGGTTCTCTGCTGCTCTCTCCCTTTCCCAAGAAGATACAGATTTTAAAATAAATCATCTGTAGCGGTGTCCTGATTTCCTCTTCTTTAAGAATAAATTAACTTGCTGATAACAAGTCCTTTTCTGCTTTGTATGGTAGGTGCACATACCACTTCTTTTCCCCAGCCCCCAGTATTATAATTAGATTGGTTCGGTGCACACACATCAAGCTGTAAATATCAAGGGCTCTCGGTGGGGAAAAAGAGAGAGAATTACTTACAAATCTGAGTCATGCTGCTTCTACATTTTTTTTATGAGGGAGTAGGAGGTATGTAACACTGTCATGACTCACAGAGAATATGTTAAATTTACACTGGCAGGCACTGTTGAGTAGAGTGTGTTGTGTGTTGGTGTAGACCAATTTCCATTGCACTCTGACACTAGCAGGGTGATTACCTGTGGAAACAACCAATGTGAGGAATGAGGCCAATGCTTCTAGGCTATGTATGAAAAAACAGATAAAATGTCCATCCCCTCCCAAAAAAAGTAAGTGTCATATGGACCAATGCATTTTGTATTGGTCCAGAATTTACTAAGCAAGAGGGGGGATGGAGCTGCAGGCTGGTCATCTCAGGAGTGGCCAAAATCCTTAGTGGGCAAGGTGGTGGACAGCAGAGTTGCCTTCCCCTCCTCTTCCTAGCACAATCCCTATGCCTTCAAACCGCTTCAGTGACAGGCAGGCAATCAATAAGTCAAGGTTTACCATCACTACACCCCCTTTCTAGGGACCGTTGCATCGGATGAATGTTGACCAGGCATATGGCTGTTAATGGCACAACACCCTATCTGATAGGAGAACCGTAGACATAGGAATCTGCCCCAAAGTATTCTGTTCCCTTAAATCATTCTACTAGTTATTTCGTGTTGCCTGGAATTACTTCCCAGACCACCTGTTGAGTGGCACCTGTGTTTCTTGCTTCAAATCTTTCATCAAAAGTGGGACTTCCAAGGGAGGAACATGGCGGACTGAACATTTTTTTGTTGGCAGGTTGCCGATGGAGATAATTGTGTGGTGATTGATGGTAGCTGAGCATAAATCTTGCTTACTGAATTCACTCCGGCGATAAGAGTGAACAGGGGATTAACCTCTGGTGCTCTGAAAAAGCACCAGGAGACTGAGAAGTTTTCAGCTCCAGGGAACTCAGGTCGGGGTAACTGAATTATGAGTGGAGGAATCAACATCTTGCCAAAAAGCCAAGTAAGAGCGCTGGCGGGCATGAAGTCTGCAAAAACCTCTGTCTCTTAATTCTCTGAGACAGTTATAATTTGTGACTGAGAGGTTTCTCTGTCTGCTGGTAGAAATTCACATCTGGTGTGCGAGCTACTTTCTGGCTTTAAGAAGAGTCGATCGTTAAAAGGCTGAAGGCAGAACAATAAGCATGCTCTAGTTGTTTGAGCCAAGGAAGTTTTAAATGATCAAGAGAGTTCAGAGTGATAAGAATTTTCATTTTCTTTATTTTTAATTATCTGTTTTCTCGGTGAAAGTGTTGCCTTCAAATCAAAAGTAATTTTGCCACGTCATACTTCCTCCATGGGAACGGAATGTGTTTTGAGAAGAGCTAATGCTGTGAATGTCTAAAGGTGGAGATGGGAGATACGATGAGACTGAATTGTTAATAAGATCAAGAACATTTGGTATGGAAAATATGTCATTGGACATTCCACTGACTGTTGATACCCTTCAGGAAATGGGGGAGAAAGGAAGAGAGAATACGACTATAAACCAAGAGGTTTGAGAGGTCAGAAACCCTGAAGTTCACAAACTGGTTTGAAATAACAATTTAAATTATGGGCTGCAGGTAAGGTGGGAGAGGAAAGGGTCGTGCCACTGACCAACAGAGAGATGGGTGAGGTAGCAGAGAAGTCTACAGGGGTGAACCAGCAGAAGGACCAGATTGGTTCTATCAATGCACCTGTGAAGTGCTGACTCCCCAGCTCTCTTCCTTTCCTGTCCAGTAAGCAGCAATGATGCTTTGCCAAAAGACCAGGTGTGCCATGATACCCCACTCACTGGCTCCTGCTGGTTGCAGGACTCTAAAACAGAACCTCAATGTTATGTTTCTGACAACTTACCATCAGCCTTGGTGCCCTCCTCTAACAGAAGTTTTGCAATGTTGAGAAATCCTTTTGCTGAAGCCAAATGAAGGGGCCTGTCTCCAACTTCTCCACTGACGTTCACATCAGCACCAAATTTCAGCAGGAGTCGGGTTACCTATCAACATGGAATTAAAATTGTAAGCAATGTTAGTGTTTTTCATTTAATCACAGGACAATATATATAGGCTGTATACCTTAACTTTTGGAAATTGTGATTTGTGTAACATCCAGAACATGTTATATCTATCCACCATCATGAGAATAAGGCCTGTATTTATAATTAAATTGTATGTTGATAGAATACTTGCTTTGCAGCATCAGCTGCAATTCTATTTCAAAAATGCTGCAGATGGTAAGAGGATGGAAACAGCTACAAGCCTATTAATTTAACTGACCCGAGTAACAAAATAAAGTAAAATGCCCATGAATTAGATGCGTCCAGGCTATAGGCCGCCCCCCCCCCAAAGCTGAAACCCTTATCACAAAAGCACCATATGCATTTTAGCATAATTTTTACAAAACTGTGACTATTTGTTGAAAAGCAACATACCAAAATAAACCAGCTTTTCAGCCTTTCACATGGAGGGATAAAAGGATGAATACACACACACACACACACACACACACACACACACACTTGTACATACCATTACTGAATGCATTATTATAATATTTTCACCTGTTTCATTGGACACATTCTCCAAATCATTTTTGGAAACCATTCTCCACCTTCATCTAATTAGTGTAATGAAATGGAAAATATATCCCACCTGGGGTCAGCACCTCCCGGCTTAGACTAAAACTCACACCTCAACAGGAATCTGTCTCCACCTAACCCTTATTTTGGTACATAGGGGAGCACAGGCAGTCAAGCAGCCATCCCAGGAAATTAAGCCAAGGGCCACGTGCTGTCTTCGGATGAGGTAACCTAAGCAGTCTACTGAGGCAACAGTATTTTAAGAACCACAAAAGGAACAGAATGCAACTTCAGGGGAGCACCTCAAAATTCATTGGTTTGCCTCAAAAGATTTGGGGGTCATGAACCCTTGCTTGTCTGGAGCACTTAGGCCAATATCCAAGAATTTGGCCCCAGGATCCCCTAATAACACTGCAAAAATAAAATAAAATAAAACTCTGGGGAAGTCTTCAGTACATGCATATGTAAACCAACACTGATATAATGTGTTGCCTCCAGTATTAATTCTACTCAGCAGACTCACTGAGATCAATAGATATGACTGACTTAGGTTGATCAATTACAACGGGTTTTCTCTGAGTACAACTTAGTTTGATGTCAACCAAAGGTACTGTTAAACCTGGTAACATTCTGCAATGGTTTAGCATGTCTTTTTTAAAACATAAACGGACTCATATAACTCTCCTTTGCACAAGTGATATGTATTTGATGCAAACCAGTGTTGCAGCTGTGTGGAAAATGAGCTTTATCACTTCAGCATATGTTGTTCCGATCACTGGTATGCTGATAATGAGCTGGGGGGGATCTCTCTCTGGAAGATGTGAGAATAGCAAAGTGAGGGTGAGTTCATACATGTTCACCATTTGATGAACATAACATGAAATGATGGTGGATGAAGCAGCCATTACAGATTAAATTCTATGGACAGACTGCTTGTTTCATTTTATAGCATCCCAAACACAATGTTTCTTGTGACAGCTTTCAAGTATCAGGTGTGTTATCAAATTCTGCACACTCATGGGTAATCTAAACCTGGCTTGAGACTACTGGCAACTGATATGTAGCCTGTTCACACATTCATATATATCACTTTTCCTCTCTCTCTCTTTCTCCCATTGTTTGATTATTCAAAACCTGATGACTTGCAGTTGAATCAGTGAACAGTCTCCATTGAAAAGAGCTTTTTTAAAAAGCTGACATTGGGTGATGCAAAGGCTCTGTATTTGATCATTCCTTTGCATTGCTTCATTCGCATAGGCCATCACAATGCGTGACTGTGTGAACCACTTCACTATTTCTATAGCTTATATGCAAGTGTGGACAAAGCCTGAGATTGCTTCTGTATCTGCTCACCATGTAGCAGGGCATCTTATACATTGCACATAAAGTTCTCCATCTGAGACCACACATTGCCAGCTTTTCCATACCTGTTCATGACCATAGTGTGCTGCAATATGTAAAGGGGAGAAAAAAACTGCATCTTGCACGTTGACGTATGCCCCATGTTGCAGAAGAATATCAACAGCCTAGAAGGGAGGGGGGAAATGAGATATCCCTATTAGAAGTGTGGCAACAAAGTCACTTTGTACAAACTTGCTCTGCCATGTTACAGCTACATTTCAAATACATTGCAATGGGACATTGAGTGAATGTTGCATGTCAACTGCGTTGCCCCAGAAATGCATCTGGAAGTATATTTGCTGACAAAAGAACTAAATTGTGAAAGCAGGATCTCTGAATTGATTGACAAAGGATAGGTACAAACCTCCCCCCCCCCACTTCAAAGTTCAAGCATAAACAGGAGCAAACACATTCTTATAAAAAGTACATAATATATATTTTAATTAAAAGTGCACACAGCAAATTTGCAAAACACAAAAGCTTCTCTATGTTTTGGAAGATGAGGAGCCTTCCATTTAAATAAATCATACAAGGACATTTCTTCCCAACATAACACTCATATTCAGTGAGAAGGTCGATTGTTCAATCAAAACAGCTCTAAACTATGCATCATTTGCTTGCTAAACAATGATCAAAATTGAAGTGTCAATGAGACTGCTCTGAAATATTTATTTAAAAAATGAATGTACTACTTTCTTTGAAAGCCAAAGAGCTTTTTATATCCACCAAGTGCTAATGCCAAAAGCAGTACTCCTATACAATTGTCAAATCAACTGGGAGTGTTCAGTGGATTGTATATAGAACATTGAAAGCTTGGGCTGCAGAAACTTATGAAATTCTACAGCCAAAGCAGGTGGCTGATCCAATGGCACTAATTCATTATATTCGATCATCTCAAGGTGCTTTATTAAATGCTACCCCCCCATTAGCAAAGATTTTTTCAAAAAACTATATTTCTCTAATTCACCATCTTCAGAGGTTATCAGCTCCTACCTTAGACTGCTCTTCCAATCTTAAAATAAATTTAAATAACTCTAAAGAATAGTGATAGATGGCATGACCTAGCTCAGGGTGGTCCAAGGCGCAGATTGTGGGCTGTATGCAGCCCTCAAGGCCTTTTTATGGGCGGCTCTTGCTGAGTACCAAAGCTGCAGGGAACTAACACCATGAAAACCTTGCCCTGGTTTGCTTGCAACCACTGAAGGCTGCCCATCCCAACTGTGGCTGAGAATCCTCCTCAGAGTGGGATGAGGAGAGAGAAAGATGGATGGGGGAGGAAAAAAAGAAGAGAAGCAATAGGTGGTTTCTCCAGCCAAGTCAGCATTAGGAGAGGATTCCTAACAGTCTAGGGAGTGTGCATGCACAGGGGTGTGTGTGTGTGTGTGTGTGTGTGTGTGTGTGTGTGTGTTGCATCTATTGGTGGCAATGGCAGTGCTGGAAGTGCCAAAGGAGGAGAGAAAAGGGGGGGGGGTTTAAAAAAAGCAGAGTGAGACTTCTCTAATCTGTCCATCAGCTGCAGCAAGCTGTATGTCAGCACACCCTTTTCCTGTCTCTTCCTTCTCTCCCACCCCACCAAGAGCCACTAATAATTCCATTGCTTTCCTGCCCAGAGTCCTGCCTGCATCCAGCAATTCCCCTCACACTCGTCAGCTTCCTTGTTTTTGGATCTTTTTGGTCTATATATATATATATATATATATATATATATATATATGCTTTCGTAGATTTTCACGGGTACAGGAATGCAGGTTTTGGTGTCCTCGGGTGTCTTCCCGTGTAAAAGTTGGGGTGTCTAGGCGACGTTTCGACGAGGTCTCACTCGTCATCTTCAGGCTGGTGCTTTCGGCTTCTTGTTACTGGAACAGAGCACCTCCGGATGCTGCACCCCCCTGCAATCCCTACACAGATCTGGCTGGCACAGGACACAAAACCACAGCTCGCCCCTATACACGAAGCCAAGCCAGAGCACAACTAAATGCAATACAGCCATCTTCTCAGAAAAACTCTTCACAAAGTTCAAGAGGTCAAGACACGAAGGCTTTAGCAACTAATCCACACCTAATGACCCACCTAAGTGGTACTCAGGATATCACTCAAGAAATCACTCAAGATATCCCTCAAGTAATTAAGGAACAAAAGAAGAAAAGGCACACTAGCCTGGGAACTTCCTCTCTGCCCAGAACATTGGAGGCTATACACCACACCCCCTCAACAGTATTTATAGGAACTCAAACACTGAGATCCTGCTCTGTTCCAGTAACAAGAAGCCGAAAGCACCAGCCTGAAGATGACGAGTGAGACCTCGTCGAAACGTCGCCTAGACACCCCAACTTTTACACGGGAAGACACCCGAGGACACCAAAACCTGCATATATATATATAATATATATATATATATATATATATATATACACACACACACGAAAGAATGGCTCTGATCTGTTTGATAAATAAATATATTACGTACGTGGGTGTGTGGGTGTATAATATTAACGATATTGCAAACATTTTAATTTATGATATGGATATTTAATTCTGTGTGTGGCTCCTGGGTTCTGTGTCAAAGTACTCCTGTGGCCCACTTGGTCCGAGTGGTTGGACCGCCCTGATCTAGCCAAAGTTAAGCATTTTACAGGCACTTTTATTTATCCCGCTGAAACCAATGAGACTTTAAAATGCTAACCTTCGGCTATGGCATCCCCACCATAATGCCTGGTTCCCTCATGTTACCATTCCATTTACTTGTTTATATTTTACCAGACAGGTGCTTCAAGCCAGTTTCCCTGCTATCCAGTTTAACATACACAAACAGCCATTCTCAAAAAGAGCCCAGAATGCAGTTTCCATGTTAATTGGGTCCCCGGAAACCAGGCTTTCAATACAATCCAGTTTCCTTTCACCTAACAAATTTCTCTTATTATAAAGATGGCCTTTGCTCCTTCCTCATTGGTGGTTTTGTTAATACTTCTTCATGGAGGGCGAGATCAAAAGCCTTTGAAGCAAATTATGTCCACTTCCACAAGAGATCATCAGTTAAGGCTTATTTAAGGGTTACAGTGTGTGTCAACAAATGTCGCCTAAGATAAACTAAGGATTTTCTCTCACGGGCAAGGGTAACAGATAAGAATTCGTCTAACAAAATTTAATCAATTATTATTGACTTTCTAGCAGGTGAAATTAAAATGAGAAAGACAGCTTCGACAATTAAGCCATACATATGAGCAAAAGCCACTCTATATTGCTGGGTTAACACATCTCAGGAATCTCTTAGATGCTTTTCTGAACTTTTTTTTTTTAATTAAGTCATTCAACCCCAAACACAATGAAGTCTGAGCACTGGCCTAATTCTTTCCAATTTACTAGATACTGATACAATCAGTCATGTCCTCTAGATATGATTTGCTCAAAAACCGGCAAGATTTGTTAACTCCTTGAAGCTCTAGAAGAATTTCATACCGAGATAGCCATCAAATAAGACAAAGGCACGATTAAACTGGTGTGAAACTGGCCACCTCACAAATAAGAGATATAGTGAATGGAATTATTTTCTGCAGAACAAAGTCTGATGAAATGTTACATGTAATCTGTCGTCTTGGGTAGAGGAAGGCATAGACATGCAATTAAGAAATGGTCTGTGTATACGTGATCAGCAGATCTCAAGGGAAGTGCTTTAAATAAATACAATTATGCTAAGGATAAATTCACTATCGAAAGTGAAGTGTCCCTATTTTCCAGGTACAGTGGTACCTCAAGTTACAAACTTAATTTGTTCCGGAGGTCCGTTCTTAACCTGAAACTCTTCTTAACTAGAGTCGTGCTTTCGCTAATGGGGCCTCTTGCTGCCGCTGCGCCACCGGCACACGATTTCCGTTCTCATCCTGGGGCAAAGTTCTCAACTCGAGGTAACTCTTCCAGGTTAGCGGAGTTTGTAACCTGAAGCATTTGTAACCTGAGGCGTTTGTAACTTGAGGTACCACTGTACAGTCCCGGATTTACAGAACCCATCCCTGTTTCTGATTTGATCCTGGAATGTCCCGCTTTTTCTTAGGATGTCCTTTTCATCAGAAATGTTGGAGGGTATGGAGTTATGCGACCCCTGAGCAAAGGAGATAAGTATCTATACAACCTTTAGAAGACATATGAAGGCAGCCCTGTACAGGAAAGTTTCTTAATGTTTAATGCTTTATGTTTTTATATAAATTGGAAGCCACCCAGATTGGCAGGGGCAACCCAGTCATATGGATGGGGCATAAATAATAAAATGGTGATAGTGGTGGAATGGGACTCTATTTTCATCAGAGTAATTTGGAGGGTGTGCTAAATACTGAAAAATATATTGAAGAATGCTCTTCCTGTCCATAATCATTGGCATCTGAAGCAATTTTGTTATGGAATTTGTCTTTGGGCCAACCACAATATATATTTTTTGAGCAAATATTAGCACATAGTTGAACTGCATATCTTTCAGATACCTTGATTTCAACATTATTATAAAAATTTCACATCATTCTCATGAATAACTGAGTTGCATGTGGAAGTTATTATTGATAGTCCACCAGGGGTCAGCAAACTTTTTCAGCAGGGGGCCGATCCACTGTCCCTCAGACCTTGTGGGGGGCCGGACTATATTTTGGGGAAGGGAATGAACCCAGAGATGCATTTTAAATAAAACGACACATTCTACTCCTGTAAAAACACACTGATTACCAGACCATCCAAGGGCTGGATTTAGAAGACGATTGGGCCGGTTTCAGCCCCTGGGCCTTAGTTTGCCTACCCATGCACTAAACCATTCAACAGCCTCTACACAGTGGAGGAAGGGGATGCAGGGGGTGCGGTGCACCCCAGGTGTCATCACTGGGGGGTTGACAAAATGAGGGGGTTTTTATTTAAAAAATGGGCTCACAAAACTTTTTAGGAGTGACATGGTGGCTTAGGCACCTGCAGGTTCTATGCTGCCTGAAACGGCAGCGTGGGACTTGTATCTGCCTACTGCCTCTCCCTCAGCTGCCCTACAGCTGAGGGGGAGGTGGTGGAGAGGTTCCTAGCATCTGAGAGGATCGCCCTGCCCCCAGGTTGCAGGACACACCCACACACACCAGCCACCCAAGCGGCTAGCTACGCCACTGCCTCTACAAGCCCATTATACAAAACCTGCAGAAACATACTGCAGTGCCAGCTTCCCATGTATTGCCATCTATGGGCTGAAAAATAATATTCAGGCACAGATGTCTTGTGAACATGTCTTTTTAAGAAGACAGCTGGTAGAGTTGTGCCTCTCGCCTGTTTCCTATTCCCACTTACATTCTGCAAATTTGCACTTTTCTTCTGGTGAAATCCAGGCTTAGGTCTGTGCATTAACAGACGAACCAACAAACCACATTCTCTAATGTAAGCACATCTAATGTCAAATTGCAGGGAAGAGGAAATATTTATGCACAAGACTAGTGCAACTGAATCAGAACGCCAGAGAGATTGAAGAGCATCAACTTCATAGCATTGATTGCTAAAGTGATTTAAAGAACTGTGCCAAGACCACCTCCTAGACTTGGAGTGAAAGGGGGAATGGATAGTGCAAAGCTGGTTTGCCTATTCAGAAATTACATTGATTCATTGTTGTTGTTTTTTGCCTGGTTGATGCTTTCTAAAGCAATTGCCAAGGTTAACAATATGGATACCAACCAGCTAGGTCGTTACGCTGGGAAGCAGTCAGGAGAATGATTTGATCAGGCTGAGAAACGAACAGCCAAAAGCTTTATAATACTAGAAATCCTATTGGGCCCTTCAGTCATCTGACCCCTTTTGAGACGGCTACTGCAATAGTACATAACAATGAATAGTGCTGAAGCTTAGCAAGCAACAGGGCAGAAGTTCTGTTTTGATGGAGAAGAAATGAACACACCTGGTTCTGCAGCTAGAATACCTAGAGATCTGTATACCTGACATGGAGGTATCCAGTGGTGATCAGAGTCAGATATGAGGGTGGAAGTTCAGGACCACACTAAGCAGATTGAACAAGGGCTCACCACACTTCTCAAAAGCAGCAGGCATGGCTCACATTTTGAACTACATGAAGTAATACACATTCCATGTAAAGTGCTCCCATCACAAACAACCACAAAGACTGCACTGCTGGAGAACTCAACTACATTTCTAACAAACTAGCATAAGTACTTCTTATTTAATATCTCTTTATTTCAATTAAGGCAGGCATTACCAAAAGAATTTAGATCCTTCTCATGGGAGGGAAAATGTTAGCAGTCCCATATATATTAATGTGATCTTCTGCAAAATAATCTGTTTAACGTAGTCAGAATAATTCTCGAAAGACCAGCAGTTTCAAATTTATAAGGGGGAGGGGGAAGTAATGGCAAAGCTCACATTTTGAATGTGTAAGTATTCGAATCAAACTTATCAACTAAATCAAATGAGACAGACAAAATGCGTCCTTCCATCAGAAATGGGCTTTATAGTAATTTGTCTATCACCAAAAGGAATAACAACATGTATTTTACAAACTGGAATTAAAATAATCCTTGCACAAATCGAGCACATTTAGTGCAATGATGAAAAGAGTTACATATGCTCACTAGGAATTATATCCCATAATCTTTTTCGGGCTTTTTGTCCTTTTTCAAATTGGAAATAAGTTACTGGACTGCAGCTTCTGCACAGCAAGAGATATGCCCCGTGGCACATTTTAAATTTGCCATGGCTTCTCCAACATCCACCTTTACACAGAGCAGTAGCATTTACAAAAAACAAAAAAAAACTTTTATGGAGTACCTGATGTCAGACACAATAGATTAGAAAGAGTCCATAGGCTAGAAAATTAGGCAGAAGTAGGAAACAAAAGTACACTAAAGGTGAGGGAGAAACGCTAGCTATTTAGGAACCCAGGGATTCCTATAGCTTGGCGTCCAAACAACTCATTCATCCATGACATGGACTCATTTGTCCATGCTGACTTCACTCATTGGCTAAAAACAATGAAAGCAACAGTTCTTAGATGAAAATAGGGACATTCTATTCTACATAGGAAGCTTCTCCCGTGTTTGATCTCCTGTGTCCATATATGTCATATGCACATGAACATTGGCACCTTGAGTCAATCACATCCACTCAGCCTCACCTCTTTCACAGGGCTTTTGTAAAGAAAAAAATGTGTGAGGGAAGGGATCATGTACAACACCTTCAACAGATAAATGGAATGAAATAAAAAATTAGCTCTAATGTAAGCTGCCTTGAGTCTCTGTTGGGGGAAAAGGCGGGATATAATAAAATAATAATAATAATAATAATAATAATAATAATAATAATAATAATAATAAAACTGAGAATGACCAGGAACATACCAGAGAATAAATCCTATTGAACTCAGTAGGACTTAGTTCTGAGGGGGGGAATGATTAGGATTGCAATGTAAGACTGCACATTCTTTACCAGGTTACCTGGGAGTAAGCTCCATGGAATACAGACTTACTTCTGAGTAGACATGTAAAGGCTTGCAGTGTAAGACTCCATTTACAATAAAGGAATAAACAATCCACATGTTTCCTTAAAAATGGCTGGCTACTGAAGCCTCAAAACTATATGCCAGCCTCACCATTTTTTATCATTTGGTGAAGCCATTTTCAGTATAAGCAGGACTCCATTTTTTACACACACATACACAGAGCAAAGAAATGGAGGGCAGGGAAAAGGAAAACTGGGATATTGAAGGATCAAATAAAAAACCAGGATGGCTTCTGTAATTTTGGGACTGTCTCTGGAAAATCCAGACACTTGGAGGGTATGAGAAAGGTAGGGGCAGCGAGACTGGCTCATCTCACAGAAATATCTTAGAAAGCTGATGACACATTTTTCTTTAAAATATTTCTTTCAGGAAAGAAAGCTCAGGATTTGGGCCCTTGTAGGCATGGGTAGTGGTGCAATTGCTCCAGCGGCAGCATAATAATCTGGCCATGATTTTTGTGTTTTCTAATATTGCAGATGTGGAGACTGAGGTTGAGAGAGAGCAACTTGCCAGCTATTGAGTTCAGGGCACGGGCAGGATTCAAACCAGGGACTCCTAGATTCACAGATCAGCCTCTTTGCCACTACACGACAGCAAGGTACTGATCATTTTTTTAAAATATATGAGTTATGGGTCTTTGAACTTGACTAAGTTGTAGGCTTCAGATTCTGTTCTTTGGGAGGACATCTTAAATGGGATTTGGAAAACAAAACTGAAGCAGGGCAGTAGGAAGGCCAGAGGGCCAGAATTTCAAAATAAGGTCTGTAGTCTATAACGTCTTCTCTCTGTAGGATGTAATGAACATAATGCAAGTTAATTGCTTTTATTAAAAGCCCTGAAAGCAGAAAAGGTAAATTAGAGCTCATCTTGCTATAGTTTTAATGAAACATCATGTATAATTGGGTCAATTTTTCCCCCTTCAAGCAATCTATCTGCAATTAAAAATTAAAGAACTCAAACTTGTACATCGAAAGATCTATTCAGAACCTGGGAGTTGCAAATTAATCTGTCTAGTTATCCAGAAATCAAAATTTATTAGCAGAACCCACACTTCTTCACTAATTATGCTTTAGCAAAGGTGAAATCATGGTGATGAGTTGTAAAGATTCTGAATGGATCTCATTGCAAAACATAGGATTGGCAGTAAATGTCAAAAGAGAGAAGCCTGCAAGTAAAGCTTGCAGTTTTATGGACAGTTCACAAATTCAGTGGTGTTTTTTTCCTGCATGTAAGTTTCCTCAGAATTGCAATTACGTCCACTGGCATGGAGAAACAAGAATATGAACTACTTATATACTTGAGGGCTTCAAAATTCAGCCGGTTCTGCTGCCATGCCTTCAGTATTGTCAAGTGCCCAGTATAGTTAAATACATGGATGGTTTTGTGGATGCGTTTTTACTCAGTGATATAGAACACAGCAGAGCATGCTTATTCTTAAAGATCCATAAATATAAAGATCCATAAATATGAGCATGTGTGTGTGTGTCCCCCCCCCCCCGGGATGCTCGCTGCGCGCCATGGGTGGCACCCCTGCGGGCAGCTAGCCCCGGGTGCACAGCATGTGCGCCACTCTGGGTGCCGGAGCAGCTAGCTCCACCTCTGCATAGCTGCATACACAAATATGTAAATATAAAAGCTTTAAAATACACAAATGTTAACAATACGTTCCCTGAAGCTTCATAATTCTTTTATATCGCCTTCCATTTTAGTTGCCTTGGTGCATCTTTTCAAATGCTTTGTCAATTTGCTTTGCATGCATCCAAGGCTCAAATTGGAAGGGGGAAGGGGTGGAAAAAGTTGGCTCAGGCAATTCATATTTCTGCCTGACAGATGTAGATTCTTCACATAGGTTCCATAATGCTTATTGTCCTACTTGAATTCCAGTTGGCAACTCATTATTTGCCACGATGTTGACAATGAAAGGCTGCACTTAACTCTGTTTTGAAA